TTTTGCATGTTACCTAATTTTCCAACATCACTTATTGAATAGACTGTTTTGTCCCATTGTATGTTCTTGCCTTTTTTGCCAAATAGTAATTGACCGTATAGGTATGGGCTCTGTATTCTTTTCCATTGATCTCTGTGTCTGTTTTTATGCCAGTACCATGATGGTTTGATTATTATGACCTTGTAGTATACTTTGATGTCAGGTAGTATGATTTCTGCAACTTTACTCTTCTTTTTCAATTTTACTATAGCTATCCATATAAACTTCAGGATTATTTGTTCTAGTTCTATGAAATATTCCATTGGTATTTTGATAGGAATTGTGTTGAATCTATAGATTGCTTTGGGTAGTATGAACATTTTAACAATGTTAATTCTTCCTGTCCATAAGCACGGTATATGCTTTCACTTATCTGGAGCTCCTTCAATTTCTTTCTTCAATGTCTTACAATTTTCAGAGTACAAGTCTTTCACCTTCTAGGTAGTTTATTTAACTTTTTGATACAGTTGTAAATGGGATTGTTTTCTCAGTTTCCCTTTCTGATAGTTTATTATTAGTGTATAAAAATACAACTGACTATTGAATATTTGTTTTGTATCCTGCTACTTTACTGAATTCACTTGTCATTTATTTGTATAGTTATTTGATGGAATCTTTAGGATTCTTTATATACAGTATCATGTCATCTACAAATGACAGTTTTACCTCTTCCTTTCCAATTTGGATGCCTTTTATTTCTTTTTCTAGTTTGATTGCTGTGTCTACGACTTCCAGTACTATGTTGAATAAGAGTAGTGAAAGTGCAACATCCCTTTCTTTTTCCTGATCTTATAGGAAATGCCTTTAGTTTCCCCCCATTGAATATGATGTTAGCTGTGGATTTGTCTTATATGATCTTTATTATTTTGATGTATGTTCCATCTGTGCCCACCTTGCTGCACGTTTTTTACCATGAATAGTGCTAGATTTTGTTAAATGGTTTTTCCGTATCTATTGATATGATCATGATTTTTACTCTTCATTTTGTTTATGTGGTGCATCACGAAAATTGATTTCGATAATGTGTACCAGCCTAAATCCCACTCAGTCATGGCCTGTGATCTTTTTAATGTATTGCTGGATCCAGTTTGCTAATATTTTGGTGAGGATTTTTGCAACTTTGTATCTTTGTTCAGCAGAGATATTGGTCTATAATTTTTTCTGTTGTAGTATTTACTGGTTTTGGAATTAATATAATACTGACCTTGTAAAATGAGTTGGGGAATCAGCTCTTCTTGAATTTTTTGGAATAGTTTGAGAGGGATAGGTGTTAGCTGTTCTTTGAAGGTTTGGTAAAATTTACCTGTGAAGCCATCTGGGCCCAGGGCTTTTGTTTTTTTGGAAGTTTTAGATTACTGCTTCAATTTCTTGAAATCAGTCTATTCAGATTTTCTGTTTCTTTTTTTTCAGTTTGGGGAGACTGTATATTACTGGAAGTTTATTTATTTCTTTGAAACTGTCCGATTTGTTAGCTTACAGTTGTTTGTAACATTTTCTTATAATCCTTTGTATTTCTGAGATGTCAGTTGTTACTTCTCTCTCATTTCTTATTTTATTGATTTTGGCCCTCTCTTTTTTCCTTGATGAGTCCGAAGATTTACCTGTCTTGTTTATCTTTTCAAAAAAATTACAGCTCTTGGTTTCATTGATCTTCTGTATTTTTTTAACTATTTTGTATGTGTCTGCTCTAATTGTTATTATTTCCTTTTTTTTCTCACTTTGAGCTTTGTTTGTTGTTTTTTTCCTGGTTCCTTTGAGTGTCAGATTAGATTGGTTATTTGAGAGTTTTCTTTCTTCTTGAGATGTAATGATATGAATTTCTTTCTTGGGAATGCTCCTGCTGTGTCCCATAAATTTGGGGTTGTGTTGTTTTCATTATCAGACTCAGTTTGTGTCAAGGTAACTTCTGATTTCTTCCTTGATCTTATTGTTAACCCATTCATTGTTTAGTAACATGTTATTTAGCTTCCATGTTTTTGTGTGTTACTCAGTTTTTTTCTTCTCATTGATTCCTAGTTTCATACCGTTGTAGTCAGAGATGATGCTTGATATGATATCAGTCTTCATAAATTTATTGAGACTAATTTTGTGTCCTAACATGTGGTCTTGTCGTAGAAAATATTTTTCCATATGCCCTCGAAAACAGTGTATATTCTGCTGGTTTCGGATGGAATGCTCTGAACATATCAATTAAATCCATCTGATTGAGTGTGTTATTTTGCTCATAGAGTTTAAAGTACTTTATATAAACTATTTTTCAATCTAATAGTTAAGAAGAAAAGACTTGTTGTAAATTAAAATACTATGTAAATTTTAGCAATGTGTCTTAGAGAAGAGTTTGTTAAGTTTCATTGGAGGCAGACCTTGCTTGCTTTTTATAACCTTTTTTCCTTGAAACAGCATTAATGAAACTTTGTATAGTGTTTAGTTAAAACTTCTACTTTATAAGAATTTTGTTTGGACTCAAAAATACCTTTTGGTCCCATAGTAATAGTTTTTGTGTGCATTTTTATTGTAGTAGATACTGCTAAATGACTCTGCAGGAAGGTAGTTGTCAACTCTTGATATTAATAATCTTAATTTTTGTCAGTCCACTAGAAGGTAACATCTTACTTTGTTGTAATCCCTTATTTATTATACATTTAAATTTTACTTTTTCTTTTCCTTTGAACTACCTATTCATACCCATGGTACACTTTGGTATTCGGTTGCGTAAGTTTTTGTGTAGTTTTTACTGTAAATTGGATTCTGTCACTGAAACAAATCTAGTCACACTATCTCTTCATTGCCCGAATCAGTGGATTTATCTTAATTATTTAACATGCTTGACCTTTTCCTCATTCTTAAATTCATATTCATAATAGACCTTAATTCCTGATTTTCTTCTTCTTGGGCTACTTCTCTTTTGATAGTTTTTTCTTCTACTCTTGTCAGTGAACCCCTCTTCACAATATGTATTTTTTTTTTTATATCCTCCCCATGATCATAGTTTTGATTCCTATTGGTGACCAAATTACAGGTGCCTCCTATACTACTGCAGTTTGTGCCTCTGTTCACAATTGAAGGAAAGACTGAATTTCTATTGGAGACGAATGAAAATAAAGATGTAATTTTTCCCATCTAAGTTTACCAGCTCCCTGAGTTCTATCTAGCCTTATGAATTTGTGGATTTTAGGGGAATTACTGCTACAAGACTGACATTTTCTATTGCTTACTGGTTGTTTCCACCTGCATATATCATATCATTGACATTATCATCGTAATTAAGTTTATTTGAATGCTACCTATATACTAGACAAAATGCTAGCTGCTTTTCATGCATTATATATATCTCCTTCAGTCTTCCTTACTGCCCTAATATCTCAATTTTAGAGATATGGAAACATTTGGCTAAAGATTAGGCTTGCCCAAGATCATGAATGTGGAAGCTGAATTCAGATTAGGTCTTCTTGACTCTAGAGTCTTTGTTCTTAATTATTATGTCATTATGTTTTATCTTTACCCTACTTTTTCCCCTGCCACCCACACCAAGTTTTTGTTCTCTGCTGGTGTACCATCTTCCATTGAAACCAAACAATAGGATCATCCTAGACTCTTTCTCTTCCATTACATGCAACCCATCACCAAGTTTTTCAGCTTATTTTCAGAATGTTTCTTAAACCAACATTCTACACCTTCCCCTAATCAAACTACCACTACCATATACTTAGTTTAAGTTTTTCTTCATCATATCTTAGATGAGCAATTTTCAACCATTTTCATCTCATGGCATACATAAACTAATTACTAAAATTCTGCAGCGTATCAAAAAATATATGTTTTGCCAATCTCACAAAAAATATAATTTTGATTTATTTGCACTGGATGGCTATTATTGTGTTGATCTCATTTTTGTATTTGACAATCTAAGAGAAAAGAGGTGAGTCCCTGACTAAATAGTCAGGTATTACATGTTTTAAACGTTTTTGCAGCACACCGATTGAAAACTGCTGATCACTGTCTTAGATGGATGTTTCCATTGGTCTCCTAATTATTCTCTCTGCTTTCGTTTTTGTGTTCCTTTAATCCATGCTACTCCTCAAACAAGCTTTCTTATACAAAAAAAAAATCTGATATTCAACTTTCTGTTTAAATTCCTTGAATAATGTTACATTATCAAAAAGATAAAATTCAGTTCCATATTATGTCACAAAAGTTCCTTAAATTAATGGTAATATCAATCATCCTTTCTTACTACTTCCCCATAATTTTGCTTCAGTTATATCTTAGTGACCTCCTAGTTCCATACTTTTGTACCTGTTATTCTTTCCATTCAGAATTCCTCCTTTTCCTTAGCTATCTTGCAAACTTACTAAAGCTCCAGACTCGGTTCCTAAGTTATTACCTCTATGAAGCACTATGAAGTCCTAGTCCCATTATACTAAATAAGCCCATTATTTCTGAGTTTTTGATGCCTCAACTGTAAAGTTAGGTTATCAGCATCTATCTTAAAGGAGTTGTTAGGAGTAATTAAAAGAATAATAAATTCAAAATAACTAGTGCTGTGCCTTTACAGGGATTGAGCAAAAAAGGAAAAAGAAAGAACTCATGAACACAGACGGCAGGGTGGTCATTGCAGGGGGGCCAGAAGACGGGTGGAGGTGGAAGAGGGTTTGGGGGCATAAATAGTGATGGAAAAAATTAATTAAGAAAATACTCAGAATCAGTAGTTTTATATTTCTTCCTCAAATGACTCTGTGAATAATGATGTTACAATACAGTTGTGTATTTGCCCCACATTATGAACTTGGAGATCCTCAGATGAGAGATTTTGTTTACTTTGTATACTTGCTGATACATATTAGCTATCCTATGAATACATTTTAGAGACTCTAATAAATGTTATGACTAGGCATTGAGTAGCCAAGTAGAATGAAGTCAATGGCTCCTATGAGTGATTCCTGTTTGTTTCCTCTATTTAGTGGTGATGAATTCCTCAACTTTCTTCTGAAATTGAACAAACAATGTGGCCATTTAATAACAGCGGTACAGAATATCATTACTGAGCTGCCTGTAAATTCTCACAAGGTATTCTACAAAAGTTCTAAGTGAAGAAAAGTATGTATCCTGCAGAACATTCCAGATAAGTCAGTGATAATTCAGTAAACAGTAATGTTCTGGTAAAATTGTATTTTTCTTTACAAAATCATATAAACTCTAAATAGCTAAATATATTTAATATTACTCCTTTACATACTAATTAATTGAAAACAATTGTCTTCTAGCCCTCAAGAAGAGGAAAATGAGTCAGATGAAAAATTAAATTGATCAATGTATTGAACTTACCATTTGTTCTTAAGGGAAATTAATTGTTTAGAATAAAAAGTGACAGGAAACCCAAGTGAAAGTTGAAACAAACCAGAGGGTTGTATGTTATTAAAAACCCTATCAATATAAGGTTTTTTAATGAAGAAAATTTTATTTTAGTTTTCAAATCATTTTTTATTTTTCAATTACATTTGACATACATTATTTTATTAGTTGCAGGTGTACACCCCAGTGATCAGACATTGCATAACTTACTAAGTGATCACCTATATAAATCTCACACCCACCTGACTTCATACATAGTTATTAGAATATTGTTGACTATTATCCCTATGCTGCACTTTACATCCCCATGACTGTTTGTAACAACAAATTTGTACGTCTTAATCCCTTCACCATATAACCATCGCCACAACACCCATTCCATCTGGTAATTGTCAAAATGTTCTCTTTATCTATGAGTCTGTTTCTGTTCTGCATGTTCATTTTTTTTTTTAGATTCAGTTGTTGATAGGTATATATTTATTGCCATTTTATTGTTCATATTTTTTATCTTTCTTCTTAAAGAAAACCCTTTAACATTTCATTAATGATGGTTTGGTGGTGATGAAGTCCTTTAGCTCTTTCTTATCTGGGAAGATCTTTATATGTCCTTTAGTTCTAAACAGTAGCTTTGCTGGGTTTCTCTAATCTTGGCTGTAGGTCTTTGCTTTTTATCACTTTGAATATTTTTTGCCAGTCCCTTCTGGCCTGCAAAGTTTCTGTTGATAAATCAGCTGAAGTCTTATGGGATCTCCCTTGTAGGTAACTAGCTGCTTTTGTCTTGCTGGTTTTCAGCTTCTATCTTTATCTTTAACTTTTGGAATTTAATTATGGTGTGTCTTGATGTGGGCCTCTTTGAGTTCATCTTGTTTGTAACTGTCTGCAATTCCTGGACTTGAATGCCTATTTTCTTCACCAAGTTAGGAGAGTTTTCTGTCATTATTTTTTCAAATAGATTTTCAATGTCTTCCTCTCTTTCTTCTCGTTCTGGCACCCCCATGATGTGAATGTTAGTGTGCTTACAGTTGTCCCAAAGGCCCCTTACACTAGCCCACATTTTTTGGATTGCTTTTTCTTTTGCTGTTCTGATTGAGTGTTCCTTGCTTCCTTATATTACAAATTGCGGATTTGATTCTCAACTTCATCTACTACTCTACTGTTGACTCCCTGTAAATTATTCTTCATTTCAGTTAGTATATCCTTGGTATCTGATTGGCCTTTTTTTATGCTGTTGAAGCTTTCGCTAAGTTCATTGAACACCCTTATAACCAGTGTTTTGATCTCTGCATCTATTAGATTGCTTGTCTCCATTTTGTTTAGTTCTTTCTCTGGAGTTTTGTTCTGTTCTTTCATTTGGGACATGGTTCTTTGTCTCCTTGATTTTGTAGCCTCCCTGTGTTTGTTTCTTAGGTAGAGCTGCTCTATCTCCAAGGCTTGGTAGCATGGCTCAATGTAGTAGGTGTTCTATAGGGGCCGGTGGCATAGCCTTCCCCATCACCCAATCTGGTTACTCAAGTTGCACCCTCTGTGTGGGCTGTGTACACCTTCCTCTTGTTAGCTGAGCCTTGATTGCTGTTTGCACATCAATGGGAGAGATTTACCCCCAGGCCAATCATCTGCAGGGACAAGCTGCAACCACCAACCTCCAACTGCCATGGAGAATCAGCTGTACAGAGGCCCACCCCACAGAGCAGGACTTACTTCAGCAAGGCTCTGGTGCCTACTGAGTACACCCCTTGAGTGTATTGCTTGTGGAGGTGTCAGGGTGGTAGTGCTTTGATGTGGTCCAAAGCTGTCCACCAAGTGAGCTGGCTCTGAGGACTCCTAGGAGGTGCAGGCCAAGGTCAGCCTCTGCCTGTGTCTGGTCTAGGCCACCTGGCATGAGCTACAAAGCAATCTGCAGATGGCTGCTACTTGTGCAGGACTTAAGAGGTGCCAAGGTGAGGCCAGGTAGTCAACCAGACCAGCTAATGCTATTCCTAGGCCTGGGACCACTTAGGGAGAGGTACAGGGCATGCTGAGGCCAGAAGCTGGTTATTTGACAGGTTTTAGGAAAGTCTGAAGCATAAGCCAAGACAGGCCATTCATGTGGAAAAGCCCTGGATACAGCTTGGGTGGGCCCCAAATTTAGGTGGGGCAGGGCCTCAGGGAATCACCAGGGCAGAGCAAACAGTGTTACCCAGGTTGATGGAGTCTCAGATATGGCACCTACTTGTCTCCATGTGGGGGAAGGCTTATTAAAGGAACAATGGCATCTACCAGCACTTCTGCCTGGGAGAAAGCTGCCCCTACAGTTTTCATCCTTATGCCAGACAATTCACTTCCTCCTCACATAGCTCTGGTGCTTTTCAAGCTAGTACCCCTGCACTGGAGCTCAAACGACATGAGTCTGAGTAAGTCTGTAAACAGGCCCTTTAAGAGGAACTGCCTGGGGCTCCAGAAGCCCCCCATCTCTGTAAGCCTCGATCTCTACCGGTTTTTACAGCCAGAAGTTATGGGGACTTACTTCTCTTTCTGGCATTAGACCCTGGGTAGGGGGCCTGGTGGGCTAGGATGCCTTGCTCCTCAGGAGGGACCTCTGCAGCTGAGGGACCAGTTCATTCTGCATCTCCACCTCTCCTGCCAGTTTGGATGTGGCTTCTTTAATTCCCTAGTTGTAGGACTTCCATTCTGCCAGATTTCAGGTTGCTCTGAAAGATGGTTATTCTGTAGGTTAGTTGTAATTTTGATGTGGTTGTGGGAGGAGGCCAGAAATTTTAAATAGAGAAAATATAAGTAACTCATAAATGCAGTCTTATTTTGGAGAGTTTTTCGTGTGATTTGGCTTTAGTTATGTGTTTCTAGTGAAAAAAATGTTAATGTACTTGTTTTCCTGTGATTTTTATTTAACACTGACATGCGGATCATGTCATTCTTAAACTTTCATGAATTTATTTTCACTATAAATATTATTACTAATATCAATCTTCATAAAGTTATATATACTATGTATATTTACTAAGTGCATTCAGGAAACTTTTGACTATTTATATAAATATACTGACTTCTTTTTGGTGGCAGGATTTATCCTGAACAAAAAATGCTTTTGAGTTAAATTTATGTATAATTTTTGTGGACTTAAAGTTTGAAAGTTGTTTCCCATTCTCTAAGTTGCAACTTTTGAAAATGTTAACAGATCGTACTTGAATGGGCTTCTCCTCGGAATTTTGCTTCAGTTTGTGAGGAACTGGTTAGTAATGTTGAAGATTTGAGTGAAGAGGTCTGCAAGCTAAAAGACTTAATTCAGAAGGTACGTATTTAACATAAAAAGGGGGGAAATGATTTGCAGCATAGTATGTTAGACAGTGAGGTAACTCTGAAAAGAGCAGCTTAAGCTCCCACTAAACTATTGGAAAGAGTACGGTTTCCCATGGAAGAAATATACATGGGAAACAAACTTTGTCAGTCATTGAAGAAATGCATGTAAAAAGAACGATATATCACTTTTATATTTTAAATTAGCAGGGATAAATGTATCTCTACCCATTTCTGATTAGAGTTTAACAAACTGATATTCTCATTTGAGACAGATGTCACAACCCCTTTCAGAAACAATTTGACAAGATGTGCCAAGAACCATAAAAATATTTGTATCTTTCAATAGTAGCTAAATGATTTCAAAAGTGTATGTACCATAAGTATGCTATACTAGCAGAATGACTAAATAAATTAGGCACACTTTTTTGCCATAATGATATGCAGCCAGTTGAGAAAATAATGAAAATCAAGTATCAGCTTGTTAAAGATACAGTTATATTCATAGGTTTTACTTATATGTAAATATGCAGATAAAAATATTACCAAAATTAGAGTTTATTAGCTGAGTTAATGAGGTAGGATTGTGGATAAAATATTCTGTTTTTTAGAATTTCTATATCTTTTGTAATACACCTTTTTTAAAAAAGTATGGGTTTTTTTAATTCTTGTTTCCATATGCACATACAAGTATATATCTGGCTTCAAAGACAGGTGGTTTTTCCCTCTTTAAGAAAATAGGCTCTAACAAAATCTAAGCTCCTGAAATAGGGTACTCTTTTGAAGATAGATAAGAAACAAGAACACTTTCACCTGACTAAAGAACTCACTTCTGAGTCCTCCAAGTCTGTTTATAAATAAGTTTAATATACGTAGTTTTTAAAATATGTGATGTGAACATTAGATTATGCATTAAATTTTTATAGCATCAACCCATAAATTATTTAATATTTCATTATTTTCATCAAAAATTTTCCTCAAAATAAATTTTATACATGTTCCAGGTAATTTGTCATTCTAGCTATTAACAGATGTTCTCATCAAAAGGAGTCTTTTTAAAAAGTGAGTAGAAAATTATGGAGCAAATTTTACCCAAAAAAATAGAGAAAGTTATTTCGAATGGAGCAAATGAGCAATATAATTCAAAATTATTGTAGATGATAGCCCCATTCCAGAGAAAGAGGCATCTTAGAAAGTGTATTATCTCTCACATTTGTCCTTTCGACAAATGTAAGAATGCTTTCTCTATGTCAGGCAAATTGTGCTACACAAGCTAGGGAGAGCCTGACTTGCTGAAAACATGAAAATTAGAGTACTCTTCATCTTCACTCCCTGCATCACATAGAAGGATTTAAGGAAAATGGTATTGGTTTTTACTTACTGTAGTATTTTTATGGGAATCCAAGAGAAATTGGGAAAGATTTTTATAAAAAATACTTCCTGCAAAGCATCAACCTTTAATGTTTAGTGTGGGGAATTCCCCAACATCTTTGCCTCAGATTAATAATTATTTGGTTCCTTCAAGATGAACTAAAAACATGTTGGGGCTGGTACTGGAGGATTGAAATGAAATGAGACCAGATTTTTCTTAAAGGAATGAATTTAAGAAACACTGCTTTAACAGGTGATTTTGACTATCAAACATAAATAAATCAGGCACCATATTTATTTTAATAATGTGTATTATAAACAGAAATTTTAGCTTTCTTTAGCTAAATGGAAGTCATTTTTCTGTGACCTTCTTTACCTGAAATCTGTACATTTCTATGTGAGGACTAGCCTTGAAAACACATTTATTGGTTTATAATAATAGCAAATACAGTTCTTTCGGCAGGAAAGTATTAATTTTGGAGCAAACTAGAGCATTGGTTTTTCTGGATTAATCTTACACAAGTAGTAATCACCATAGTGAGATTTGATTTTAAAAGCTATGAAGGCTTCCAAATTTGGAAATATGCTATCATGCCTGTTTATGATATTTCCAAGTTTACCAATAATAACAAGGGAATTTTTAAAAAGAACCATATGAGTTGTCATAAGTATATGAAGGAGGTAACAGAGAGAGAGGGTGGGAGAGGTCAAGGCTGGACTTTAGCACCACATCACTCTCTTTCAAACCAACACACTGACAGGCTCCTGTCAGAAAGGGTCATTCTAAGTAATTGGTTAATAAAAGGAATGACTGTTTCGGGATTCAGTAAATGGAGCATCAGTGTCAAAAAGGAATCTGTTGCTGAATGAAGCCATTTGGAAGTTAGACCAAGAATACAGTATTAATGAGATTGGCACTGAAGTCCATTTCTACTATAAATTTAAAATTAATTTTGCAGGCTTTTTAAATTAAATATTTACACTGTAGATTTTAGAAGTAGTTGTTCTTGCTAATGATGAAAGTATTTGTCACCACTCCAGCACAGGATGCTTCTAGTAAATATCACTCTATAAATGTGCCTGATTGTTTTTATCTTTCAAGGATCTTTTGGTTTCTGTTCATTCTCCCTCTTTTACCCTTGCTCAACAACTGCCTCCTGTCTCTGTCTCTCTCCCCCCTCCCCTGCCCTTCTCTTTCACACTGTCTCACAGGCACGCACACACAAGAGTTGGGGGACCTTCTTTAGCAAGAAATGTCGGTGTCTAGAAGTTGAGAAACTGACTGGGCCATGTACTTTTATTGCAGAAAAGTACTAGAAGAACCACTTAGGCTTTTATTGATGTTTGTTCCTGCAATTATGTTTAAATAAAGGATTAAATTTCTAGTGTTAGCATCAAACCTTACAAATTTTGTTAAATTTTACATGTTGTAGGTATTAGAATGGTTAACATTTTTGTAAAAAATCAATTGATACTTAATACAGAAGGAAAAAATTACAATTGTCATTTCTTAGGTAGTAATAGAAACTTTAACATTATTTCATGATATAAAAATATGATATTAAAATATAGTAACTTTAGAGCAATTATTTTTAATGTGAAACTAATGATTTATTATAATGGGATCCTGGTGAAAGAAAGACTATTTAAAGACACATGTGGTCACTTTTAATCTTCCATAAGAATCTTGCATTGGCTGTGTCTAAATCATGCATTAACATAGATATATTGTGATATTTATTTTTTAATCAAATATATTTCTATTTTAGAGCACTGTACATTAACTTTTTTTCTCATATAAAATATTAGTTGCAAAATGAAAGAGGAAATGATCCAACTCATATGCCATTAATAGAAGAAGTATCTACATGGAATAGTAGAATTTTGAAGAGGACCGCTATTACAGTGTGTGGATTTGGATTTCTTCTTTTCATTTGCAAGCTAACTTTCCAGAGAAAATAATCCTAATATTTGTTTTAAGAAATGTATGTGTATTTTATTCAGATTACCTTAAAAATGTTACTTTTAACCATTTGTGGCCCAGTATAACTACATGCTTTGCCAATACTCCACAGGAAAAGTTATGATAGCATAGAGTAGGAAGTTTTTCTTTAGAAACTGGTTTGTCAATTTGAGTTAAAATGTTAATTTGTTATATTTTATGTTAATTTTTAATTAAATTTATAGGGGTGACATTGGTTCACAGGGTCATAGGTTCCAGGCATGCATTTCTATGATACATGATCTATATTGTGATACTTTGTGTTATTTTATGTTAATTTTGATCAAGCAGTAAGTTATAAGTGATTCTTAAGTTTGATTCCATAACTCTAAATCATATTCAAAATAAAAGTTTTATCTGATATTCTTTGACATTTAGAAAAATGTGTTCATTTGTCACAGTGGATGTTTCAAAACCTGTAGTGTTCATTAATCAATAGCTTTCTTTTAGTCCTTATTTTTCCCTCTCATTATTATGTAACAAGGAATTTCTTCCTTAGTTTTATAGTTGCATAACATTATTAAGAAATTACTAACTTTGAAACTATTCCATAGAATTTAAAGGATAAAGATAAAATGTGAAATTTTTTAATCATAGATTAAAAATATAGAGAAAGCATTTTAAATGTAAAGTAAAAAAAAAGAAAATTTATGTAATGTACTTAACGGGAACATATGACATGTGCTGTGTGTGACATTCTTGAGGATGTTATGAAAATGAATGGCATTTGGCATATAATTTCTCATATCAATCTAAGTAATAAACAACTTTTTTTCTCAAAATCAAAATATTCAGATATTAATAGTGATGTTAATCAAAGGACAGGACCAATTTAGCAGGGGCTATAATAGTTAAATCTTGTTTGACTTAATATCATACTTAGAAAAGATGCAATTGATCTACAATCACAGGTAAACATCAAGCAAAGGGAAAAAATTGTGGAAAAGAAAAGCAAACAGTATGAGGAACTACAATTAGTAACCATTTCTGCTCTTGGTTATAACAAAGCAGCAAGACTTGAATCATCATTCTGTTTCTGAGAATATACTCAATCATATATCATTGTAAAGAATTGGTATTTGACATTTTAACCTAAGTGCCATAGCAAGACATACTTTTTCTGACATCCCTCATTTAAATGGGTTCAAGAGTTAATACTAAACTGGAATATGAATAGAATAGTTACTTCTTTTAACACGCATTTCACTGCTAGCATAGTACTTAGGTAGGAGGGAGGGGTGGGCAGGGGAAAATGAAGGGAAGGGGCAAGTCAAGGAACATATGGCAAGGACTCATGGACAAAACCAAAGTGGGGAAGGATTGAGGGAGGGAGCGGGGGAGGGAGCAGGGGAAAGTGGTGGGAGGAAGGCAGAGACAAATGTATTTGGAAAAATTAATTAATTTTAAAAAATAAATGTTGATTTTAGTTTCCTTAAAAAGGCTGTAGGAAGCCCTGGCTAGTGTGACTCAGTGGATTGAATGCCGGCTTACGAACCAAAAGGTTGCCAGTTTGATGCCCAGTCAGGGCACATGCCTAGGTTGCAGGCCTGGTCCCCATTTGGGGGCATGAGAGAGGTAACCAGTCAGTGTTTCTCTCACATCGATATTTCTTTCCCTCTCTTTCTCCCTCCCCTCCCCTCTCTCTAAAAATAAATAAATAAAATCTTATTTTAAAAAAAACTATAGGTAAATGACAGACATGCTACCTGATTGTCTAGTTATAATAGTCTTTCACTTCAGTTCATCTTAAGGATGATCATATTTCTTCTATTGGCTGGATGGGTCACTATTTTTTTCCTCTAATCAAACCAAACTATGCATCTCTCAAATACTAGGGTAAACTGTTAAAAAGAAAATTAACAAGGTATTTGCTTTCTGAAAGGATTTATCACAGAATTCCTTAAAAAGTGACCTGCCCTAACGTACTTCCAATATAATTAGCTACTTAGGGGAAAGAAATACTGTAAAGTCCATTGCATCTGCATATTTTGAGTATATTTTTATTCCCTTCAGACAGTATACTTGTCAGGTTACAGATTGAAAATAAGTAGGGCAACATTTATTGTGATTAAATTTTTTCTTCATCGGTAAAGTACCAATAGAGTAAATAAGATTATCCAAATGGTTTGATATTGGTTATTTCATCTAGCATGTAAGTCTCTTTCCACTCTGATTATTTGACTTGATTACAGAAGTTTACTATGAGGAGGGTATCACTCCTAGAACAGTCATTCTTTTACAAGATTGCTCAGGGCAAAATATTTTCCTTCTTTTCTCAAAACAAGTTCCACAAGAAACCTCCCTAAAACCACAGAAAGAAATACTGTAAACTATGTTCCAATTTTATGCACTTGAAAGTAGTAAAAAAATTTTTATTAATTGGTATTTAATTTTTAATTGGTTGGTATCAGAAATGTTCTTAGAGCTTTGGAACCAACTTGGGAACTCAAATCCATGAAAAGAACCTGTTGGGATGCAAGTATCTTTGAAAGAGAAGCCTGCTCACTTACCACTACTGTTTTATTTTGTTTTTTATAGAAAATGTTGCAAGAATTTTTTTATGACTTGACAGTACTCTCATTAGGAGGAGACACCAGGAGAATTTCTGAGTTTAGTCAAGAGAATAATTGCTAATAGGAATTATATTTATAAGGCTAATAGACAACCCAAAGTAGTAGTTATGAGGTATGGCCAGGAGAGTAGACTGAATTTATGAACACCCAATGAAGAGAGAACTGGAGAAAAATTCTTACAGCCACTGTGAAGTAAGAGAGAGAAGCATCAGACTTTGATAGGTTCTCACATGAGGGGCTTTCTAATTGCTGTTTTGGCAAGAACCAACCATGTATGGAAATTCTAGAAATTGTAGGATAGCAGGTATTTAAATGCTACTGACCATAAGGGGACAACTGAAAGGGGCAAATCTTACAGTCTTTTACAGTGGCTGGGTTTCTCTTCACTTTCTCAAGAGTTCTTAATATATTTGCATGTCAAAAGCAATCCAGATCTGCTTGCCACTATTCTTAAGTGGTATGTTTAGTGCTCTCTGGCATCTGTTACATTTCCCTGGCACATTCACTAACCTTTTCAGTGGATGACTATGTATGCTTCTTTGTCCTCAAACTTCTAAGACCTTCTCCTCATCTCACTCTTAAATGATGACTTTACCTTTTATTGCCCTGGGAAACAGAATCCTTTGAAGAACGTCCACAGTGGGATTGTTTCAGTTAAGTCAGCAAAGTTATGTGTGTGTGAAGGGCTGGATAGTAAATATTGTAGGCTTTGTAGGGCATATAGTCTGTGTTGCAACTTCCAACACTGTCATTGTTGTACAAAAGCACCTATAGACAATACACAAATTAATAGATGTAGCTGTGGTACAATAAAGTTTATTTATAAAAGAGTAGTTGTCCAGAGTCAGCACCTAATCTAATGTCACAAAGTTAAAAATGAATTATTTTTTAATTTTTATCCTGTTTGACAGACTCTGCCTTTTGATGGAATTGTTTAATCCACTCACATTCATTGTTATGATTGGTATATTAGACAGAAATAACTGTCGTTTTACTTCTATTTTCTATAGGCTTGTATAGAAAAATCTCTTAATTTTCTTCCTCATAATTTTTGAGTTATTTTCTTAGTGGTTGTGTTAGGGCTTAGCATATACATCTCAACTTACAAGAATCTAATTTAGATTTATATTAACTTAATTCCAGTGAGATATAGAAACTTTACTCCTATATAGCTCTATTCTGTCTTCTATCTTTCTGCACTGTTGTTATGCAAATTACATATTTTGCATAGTGATATGCACATTATGTTACAAATCAAACAATACAGTGTTATAATTTTTAATTTAGATGAGGTTATGTCTATTAAAAAAACAAAAAACAAACAGGTTTATACTTAGAGAGTGTTATATTTACATTCTTACTTACCATTTCTAATTCTCTTCATTTGTTCCTGTGGGTTCAAATTACCACCTGGGGTTATGTCCATACTCTACAACAACTCTACTCCCACCCACCTCCTTCGTGCTGTTATTTTCAACTATAATACATTTCTATCAGGCATAAGCCCGACAGTACATATACATATATATACACATACACTATATATAATCACTAAGAGAAGAAAAGATACATTTATATTGTCTTTCATAATTACATAATTACCTTTACCACTGCTTTTTGGGGTGGGTGGGTGTGTGTGTGTGTGTGTGTGTGTGTGTGGATTTAGATTTGTAACTAGGTTTACTTTCTAAGGAACTTTATTTAGTTCTTTAAGATGGGTCTGTAAGATGGGTCTCCTAGCAATTCTGTGTTTTTGTTTATCTGAAAATTTATTTTCTTTTTGCCTTCATTTTTGAAAGTTTTGCTAAATATAAAATTACAAGTTAACAGGTTTTTATTTTCTTTATTACTTTATGCCATCCTACTGCTTTCTAGTCTCCATGGTTTTGGTTTTGGTTTTTTTAATGGGAATTCAGCTGATGACTTCATTAGGGTTCTCTTGTACATGGCAAATCATTTTGCTGGTTTCATGGTCTCCTCTTTGTCTTTGTCTTTCAGCATTCTTATTATCTTCTGTCTGGGTATGACTCTCTGTATTTATCCTACTTGGATTTCATTGAGCTTCCTGGATGGGTAGATTAAGGTTTTTCATCAAATATGGAAAGTTTTCAGCCATTATTTCTTTGAATGTATTTTTCTATTCCTTTCTTTTTATCTTCAAGTCCAGTGATTCTTCTGCCACTTTACTATTGAGCCACTGTAGTGGACTTTTTATTTTAGTTATTGTACTTTTCACTTCTGGAATTTCCATTTGGTTCTTTTTTTATCATTTCTATCTAAAGATATTATCTATGATGAGACATTTTCAGTTTATAGGACAATGCTCAACCAACTGAGCCACACCGGGCCAGAGTTATGATGAGACATTTTCTTCATACCTTCCTTCT